TCCAATAAGGGGAGGGGGCTATAATTATGCTCTGTAAATCAATGGACTAGGGAATATACCAGATTGACCGTTGACATCTCAATTCACCGGCTCGCATGTCATTTTAACAACCTGAGATCAATACGAACAGGTTCATTTTTGTGAAGTTTTCTTAATTCACAAACAGGAATATTTGATTAAAAACTAAATGAGGACCTTTTTTTCATTTTATACACCGCATGTGTACCAGATTGTTTGATTGAATGTTTTACGCCGAATCGGAAATATTTCAGCCACATATCGGCGACATATTTATCAGAAATGTATTAATTTTCAAAAATCATTTACATGTCATGATTAATAAATGCAGGGTAGTGAATATGTACATAACAATTATAAGAAAGAGATCAACATTAAAACGACTTGTCTTCAAAATTTTTATTGATAATGTTCATTAACGTTATTTTGCAAAAATCAAAATAAAATGAAACGTCTTGGTGCAAATCGTACGTTAATCGCGGTGTCCTGTCAGTTGTTCACATTTTCTCTAATTTGTCTGAACAAATAACTAATTCGTCCGAACGAATTTCTAATTTGTCCGAACGAATATCTAATTCGTCCGAACAAATAACTAATTCGTCCGAACGAATTTCTAATTTGTCCGAACGAATATCTAATTCGTCCGAACAAATAACTAATTCGTCCGAACGAATATCTAATTCGTCCGAACAAATTTCTAATTTGTCCGAACGAATATCTAATTCGTCCGAACAAATAACTAATTTGTCCGAACGAATTTCTAATTTGTCCGAACGAATAACTAATTCGTCCGAACGAATTTCTAATTCGTCCGAACGAATTTCTAATTTGTCCGAACGAATACCTAATTCGTCCGAACGAATTTCTAATAAAAAGTAATTTGTCCGAACAAATAAAAATATTTTTTTTACCTGGCCCTCCAGCGGCGCCGTATTGTTATTTCATTGGTAAACATTTTTTTTTACAATTAATTCAACCAGAGTAAAATCAAAAGCTTCAGACGACCATCAGTTACCGGTATTACGTACGGTAATAATATCGTTACAGTATCAATATTAATATCATTGACCCGCGTTGCATAAATCGGTTCTGCATGATTTTTAGTCATCTTTTCCCACAAACGAAAATATTACACTCGGGTAGCAACAGCATACATTTTTAAGGAATAGTTTACGAAAAGAGACTGTTTGATTTTTGTACTGTTATACTGTAAAACGAGAAAATTTGGCGCATACGTATTTTAGCGCAAACGCAAGTGGGAATGCATTGGCGCAAATAAATTTTAGCGCTTGCACTTGTCAGTAAAAATGTGATATAAATGAGATATTTTTTTTTTCACACTCGTATTTGATTTCTTTTGTTAGTCAAGCACGGAAACACATTAGTGCTCCCGTATATCAGTAAACATTCGTTACCTTTACAGCGGTACGTGTTGCTATCACATAGACGTGGTATAATGTTAAAATTTATTTTATTTCTATTTTCAATTAAAAGAAATGGAGTATTTACTCATTTAAATCACATTAAAATAATGCATGCATCGACAGAAAATTACTTAGATAAAACGGTAATCCTAATCAGGTATTTTCTGAAAGCTAAATCGCCGTGCTTGATTGCATTGTTTTCCTCGAGGCGATAGATGATTGACACGCCGAGAAGCCAAACTTTGAAGGTGCTAACGATAATAATCGGGTAACAACTACCGGGGTAACAATAGTTTAATTAAATTATAATTTGGCACAACTTTCTGTCTTACAACTATATACCAGTATATAATAACAAAGAAGAAAAAAGATTAAACGCTTCCCGATCGTTTTGCATGCAAAATCATACCTGGCTGACGTGACGTTAAAATGACGTAATGATGCTGCTCCGGGTCGATAGACATATGCATGTTTATTATTTCATCGAAATTTTCTTATTATCATAGGAATTAGAAATTTTGCATTTGTGTTTTATTCGTTCTTTATAAAATGGTGATGAATTTTCCTGAATTTATCTCCGTCCTTTATGTAGTAAATGTAATTGTCTCAATAATTTCCGAACAGCCCTCGTACATCATAAGGTATTGCACATACATCACAAGATTATAGAACATGCATCACAAGATTTTGAATATACATTACAGGATATTGCACATACATCACAAGATTATAGAACATGCATCACAAGATTTTGAATATACATCACAAGATATTGCACATACATCACAAGATCAAAAACATATATTACAAGATTCTGAATAAACATCACAAGATTTTGCATATGTATTACAAGATTACAACATACATTACAAGATTTTGAATCAGTATTAAACATCACAAGATTTTGAATATACATCACAAGATTTTGCACATACATCACAAGATTTTGCATATACATCAAAAGATTATCGATTAAAGTGACCTTTTACACGCCATACACTGTATCAACGTCGATTTTTGTGTTTTGTATGATAATATCTGTCATTACAGAGTAGATGGCTGATACTGATTACATTAAAAGATAGGTGTCTTTAAGAGTAAGACGGTTGCCATCCATGTCAGAAGTTAGTTGTATCCCAAACCGCCCTCCCTCGTTTTCTGAAAGCCATGTTTGTTCATCAATCTAAAAGTAGCGACGGTGTCACGTGATGGATTAATTTAAATAGAAGCATTACTTTCCTGGCAGGATATAATTATTATTTTACATCTTTAAAACCCGTTCAATTTTAATGGTGTAATTAACAGTACTTTCATAACTTTAATTAATATGACGCAGGTTATAGCGTGTATAACTATAATTATGAAAATGTTGCATACTCGTATAGTTTCGTGTGTACTCAAAAAAGTTAGGAAATGTTAATATAAAACGTTTACCAATGTTGTTCTGATTGAAATAAATAATTTGGAGTAAGACAATAGTCAGAAACTGTTTGAGTTACACATACAATTACTCGAATATACAGATGAAGTAAGGAAGTCGGATTTAGACCTCATTTAAACATCCTGTCTGTTAAGAGTGTTTCAAATTTCTGAAATTAGAAAAAAACAAACCACAAGACAAGAAGAGCATATTAAGGCACCGCGTTTCAAGATTAAAATTCTATTATAGACTGTTTAAATGTCGCAAGTGCTTCTACAAACAAACACAGATATTATTTTCTTTGTTCAATCATATAAAGAAAGAATCACTTGAAAAAAATTCCATTGGAATTATGAGGCTTTTGAAATTTTAGAAGTTGGATTGAAATCGAAGGATTCAAAAATCAAATCGGCTTTGGAAATTTGATAAATTTTGGATATTTGAAGTAAACTTTTAAAAACTCAAATTGTAAAAAATGTTTTGGGTATATAAAATTTGAATGTTTCAATCAAACTGTAAAATTTCAAAAATCCTAAAACGTTTGAAAGTTGAAATACAGAGGTTTAGAGTTATATTAAATAATCAAAAGACGAAAAATGTTACTGAACTTTAAATTGTTAAAGTTACAATATGACGCATATCTTCAAAAACAGACTTGTTAAAATTTTCCTATAGGATTTGGATTTTTTTTTCATACTCATAAATATATACACTTTCAGGAAATTACAAACTTCATAAGTAAATAATTCTGATTATTTCATTAAAATTAATAATTATTTATGATTCATAAATATATATACATCGCAACGTGTTCGAGGTTCCACATTCCATGCTATACACGCATGCCTATAGTTTTCATAAACAAAACAGCATGGTAAGAGAGGGAAGCCCAGTAGGCCTGCTACATTGACAAAGTCGACTAAACCGAAAAACAAAACCAAAAATAGGGCTTGAAATTAAAAAGCAACTTTTCTGACAAAAATTTAGTTGGGAGATTAATATAATCATTGGATGAAGAAGAAACGGGATCTCGGAGACATTCACGTGGGACTCGCGAAGGTTCTAACCTACATGTTTGTTGATACATGCTATCATTTCTCGTATCTCCATGACTTTCAAATTCAGTGTAAACTCAACGTAAAAATGCACTTATGACATACAGAAATAAAATTGCCATTTGAAGTGCAAATTGTACTGGAACTGCAGAAAGATATTTTGTTTGACATTTTGCCGCGATGACGTATGATTTGGTGGATTTTCCTTTCCTGCATCCACAATACAAAAAACGTCAACATTTGTACTTAATCATGTTAAATTCGTCTGAATGCAGACTAATATGTTAACTATTATTAATTGACCGGAGAGTTAAGACATTTTGATTCGGAGAATTGCTTTTACCTAATATTCCATTATAATTGTAAACCCTACATTGAATGCACGTGCCATTTTAGAATTCACGTGTTACAAGTAAACAGAACTAAGTTGTACGACCCTTGATTTTCCGGCAGATTCTAATTACGTTAATTTTGTATGAGGAGAGAATATTTATTTTTCTCGAATGCTTACTTCAACTTTATACCTTATTCCTGGATGATATATTGGGTAAATTTGAATGAAAAAGCACATGATTTGCAGCCGTATTGCCGCTTTAAGCGTTAACTTTCTGAACAAAGGGTAGATTAAAATCTCAAAAGTTCAAAACTCAAAAATCTTTTTTGGAAATTTAAATTTTGATTATTTTAGGTAAAAATCTGAAAAAAGATAAATTTTTAAAATTTAAAATCTGTCATGAAATTTGAAAATTTAGACTTTTGAGCTAAAATCTTAAATTTTTCAATATATCAAACCAGTTTGAGTTTTTGAAATTTAGAAATTTGAACTAGGCTAATACATTAACATTCTAAAACTCTAAATCATTTTAGAAATTTGAATTGTTAAAAGTGTCACACGGACCACATTGTATGTATACATTCAAAGAAAACGATGCAGAGTGTGACAAGACGTATTTTCGATGGATTTGCTCTACATGAATACTTTAAGATGAGCAAAACTGGTAACCAATCAATTTAACTTCCTCATTGTCCGAGTTGACCGTAAATGTGAAAAGTTTAGTCATCTGTTTTGCAGTTCTTGTTTTTTTTATCTAGAAAATAATGCTGCTATTTATTCAACAAGTGATCGTAGCATTTGGAATTATAACAATTAATGAGTATTTCTGTTTAGGTAAGTTTATTTTTCATCATTAATGCGTAAAACCAACCTATGCTTTCCTTTTTATCCTAGGACTTGGGGGTGGGTGGGTGGAGTATAAAAATGTTTCGTTTAAAACAACCTATTTTAAATTAATGAATTTTGAACATATCTTTTCTACTCACGAAATAATATATTAAATTCGCACAATCGCAGTTCTCTTAAAGAAATTATACTGTGTTCCTTTAATTCGTTCCACTTTAAATTCACCAACTGAGAGCAGGGCAAAAGAGTGGATATGAAACAGGAGACAATTTCCCTGTATGAAGGTGGCAGAGAACTTTTTTTTTTTATTGACAAACAAAACGAATAGCTGACTTTTCCTCCACATAAAGCTGCTTATAAATTGTGCATTGGAAACAATAGCATGGTCTAGTCCCTTGTTGAATTTTAAGCTTTTAGGAATAAACATGTACAGCTTCAAATGATGAATGATGCCATGGCACAAAGACAATCTTAAATTTTCATGAAAATTTAGCCTATTTTCACTATTTTGTTAGATTCGCAACTGCTTTCAGGCCCATGCTAATGCCTTTAGCTACCACATAAAATACAGATCAACACGTGTACATACCATTGAACAGATAATGACTCAACCAACTCGTTTTCAAGCTGCAATTCATCCTATGAACCCAACCTGTTTTTCTGAGGAAATCCTGAAAGAGTGATTTTAGATTTGAGTTTTGTATTTCTAGTCCATATCCCATAAACAGTAGTAGTGACACTAAAATGTCATATATCAATAAAATATACAAGGCCCCCAGTTCCCTCCAAATGCACACTTGAGATATTCCAGCAATAAATTTACCCAAAATAATATACATTCAAACGTTAGGGTTCTCTATTTTTGTCTAATTGTTGACGCCCGCGTGGCGCAGTGGTTAGAGCGTCTGCTTTAGAGTCGCGAAGAAGGAGTTGATCCTTACATCGCGGGTTCGAATTCCACTGTGGGACAAGGAGGCCGGTTCTTCGGATGAATGGAATAAACCGAGGTCCCGCTTCGCAGTAGGTGTTGGCATGAAAAAGAACCCTCACGGCTCAATGGCCGTAAGTGCCGAATATAGCACCAAATTTGCAGCTTTCTACTGGCAAGTGATAGCGTCTCCATACGAGATAGAAATTCTCGAGAGGGACGTTAAACAACATTCAATCAATCAATCTTACTAATTTTTGACCGGTACTTGATCCGAAACTATCCTCTGCCACCTTATAAAATATTATGTTTTGAAAGATTGATTTATGTTGTATGTTCTTTAACGTTCCTCTCGAGAATTTTTCACGCATATGGAGACACCACCACATGCCCGTGGAGAGCTACAAAATTTTTCTATACTTGGCACTCAGAGCCATTGAGCAATGTTCCAACACCTATTGCGACACAGGTCATCGGTTTATATGGTCTCATCCGAAGGACTGATGTTTTGAAAGAAGTTGTTCTTGAAATTCAAAATTCACATACATAATATGGGTTTTAGTCAGTATTCAAGTAAAGGAAATAAAACATAGTGCAATAGATGGAACGGAAATTGAGAGGCATTGACGTTTCTTAAAATATTTGCATATAAATGGCGAATAAAGAGTTGTGGCCTCTCACATTTTCCAAATTTATTTGAGTGCTTAGTTGTGATAATCCAAATTAAGTATATGAATGACCCAAAAAAAAAAATGTATCTGGTAAGCGGAACAGCCACTCGCAAAGAGCATACTGATCTATGAATCAGGCCAGCATCCAACATCAATCCCGATGCAAATTATCTGTTTTCCACGACACACAACGGACATATCTCCTCCAACTCCGTTGCGAGTTAAAAAGTCGAAATGTTCAGTCTTTATGATCTTCAATGACAAAATTCAAATAAATGCAAATAAAGTTCAAATAAATTCAAATAAGATCAAGGAAAAACATTGTGTAGGAGAGCATTGGAAACAAAAAAAAAAAACAAAACATTAATCAGATATAACCATATTTTGAATATGGAGTGGAGTTAGCCCGTTGACAGATTGGTATGCATGTATTTTCTGTTGAACACTATCATAAAGTGCGAACTTTATATTGAGCATCCAACAACAGCGTTTAAATGGATCAGGCCAGGTCGACAGCTCCCTAATATAAAAAAAAAAACAACAAAAAAAAAAACAAAGTCATAAGTGGTAGCAAATTGTGAAAATTGCATATTTAAATGAAGACATTTTGAAAGTTTTTCATTTTGTTGAGTTTAATGATTTGCAATCGAACCTGTTTCTGTAGGCCAATACACCATTGAGTTGAAAGTCGGTAGGGAACAATGGCAAACATTTTAATATAAAGATCCCTAACAAAATAGCTAGACTATAACTTGTGACACTAAAACTAAATGAATAACTACTTGCACTCTTGACTCTACTCTGCTAAGTACTCTTGATACCAAGTCATCAACAAGTATGGAGTCTTCAACGACATGTATAAACATTCAACTACAAGGAAGAAAAAACAAAAATAGCCTGCTGGTGTTTTAATCCAATAGTACGACTTTAATAATAGCGTTTTACATAATCAGCAAAGTTCCCTCCTACTTATAGCGACAAATAAATTGCAGAGGTTTAGTTTTACTGTTGGGAGAGATGGTGGATACCTTTAAATCCCTCAAATTCAGATTGTTAAATGCTTCATTTCCGAAAAAAAAATGTCTCTATTTTTTGGAGGACGTGCATTTCACGGTACTGTATCTCTTGTATATTTCAAAGTTTAATTTATTTTAAATGTGGCATGCAAAATCAAATTTTCCAACATAGGATTAGATATATTGCGACACTGGAGTGTACGAACAATCTTTAAAGAGTTTTTATATGGCTCTAACAAAATAGCATAACAAGAAATATAATACAAGAGGACCGCTTAAGCTTGCTCTTAAATATTCATATGTAAGCGACAAATCAGCATTATTCATTTGCAGCTCAATAATAAATATACACAAATATATACCTACAATTAACTAAATATTCTAGGCATCCCTGGTGACAAAGGACTAATTCTTGGAATATGGAATCCTGCAACGATAACCACCATCGAATTTCGACTGGATTGCTGATCTTCTTGAATGGATAGAACCTGCACAATCTACAATACGAGCATATTCTATAAATTTAGGGACGACTTCAGTAATATATTCAGGACTTCAGCAACCAACATCACTAACAGTGGACTCTCATAATGGGTATGTAATACCAAAAGTCTTTGCCTTGAAAAAAATTCATGGGTTATTTAAAATTAAACCTACACTAACTAATAACATGAGATAAGTTCAATTTTATACAAACACCTTGCTAACAATTCTTTATTTGCATAAATATAAAGGACAATATCAAAAACGGATACTAAATAAATCTTCAACGATTTTCAGAATTAAGTAAACGAAGATCTTATATCATAGCATTCAGGTTTCAACAATGAATCCTGATCAGGGAAGGGAAAACTTGTTTTGATAATCTTTTTAAAAATTTCATAAGAGATAATAAATTTTCTTTCTTTCAGATACCTGTTTTGGCTTTCTGGTAAAATACAGATATCAATAATGCGAGGAACGTTGAGTAGAAGTCGACCAGAAACTATTGTAACGTCTGCAAATCTACACAACCCAAGCTCTCTTTTTTACGACGTCACAAGCAACAGGCATACTACAATACTAAAATAAAATGCTCAAGATTTTATTTTTCATTTTAATCGAAATTATATGCACGCATTAAAGAATTTTGTATATACAATAAAAAAGTATCACTTCAAATTTCAGGACAAGTCAAAAAAGTTAGCGGAAGGGTTGTTAAAATTTGAACCATTTTCTAAATGCTAATGACTATTGATCTCATTCATTTCATATTTCACATGACGTTTGAGTTGTAACTTTGTAATTGTAGGATCTAAGATCCCAACTTTAAGACTCAGAATATATGTGTACAGTTTTTCATGTTTCAGGATATACTGGCTAGACCGATCAATAATTAAAAGCTGCACGACAAATGGATCTGATACTAAAAGCCATGTCATCACGGGGGGTGCAACACAGGCGTTTGTCTATACGGTTAGTATCATTTTAATGGCCCTGTTTCACAAAAGATAAATCTGTTTTTGCAATTTATATTGTTCTTTTAAAACTTATATATATGTTAATTTGGTTTGATGTAATTAATTATATGTTGTAAGTTTTCAAACATGTCACGGTATAGGATAGGATTAAATCTGTTTTAAAATAAATATTACTGAAATCTTTCATTAAGCTACAACTCAATAAATCGAAACAAGTGACTTGCTTAGCAGCATTAAGAACGTATTTTTTTCCCATTATAGATAATTAATACTCAGTGGATTTTAATACTTTTACAAGTGGAAAAGACTTAAAACCATCGAAAATGTTTTAGTGTATGTCTCAAATTCTTTTGTTTGTTTGTGTAAAATCTCAGTTTGTAATGACAATGTTATCATTTTTAGTTTCACGTAAGTACTTATCACAAGACGAAAGACCACCTTTAAGCAATCGCTTAATGGTAGCTTAATGATGACTTAATGGTGGCTTAAAGAAGTTAATTCCTTTAAGCCACCATTAAGCCACCATTAAGCTGCAACTTACAGGTGCTTAATGTCCAAACTTCATTGAGCTACCATTAAGCCACCATTAAGCTGAGCTTAATGGTGACTTAATGGTCAACCCTCATTAAACTTTTACGCATCTTATATAGAATCTTTGAACTAACTTTTAGTTATTTTAATATCATTTACGCAAAATCTATTCCAACTCATAATTCTGTCTCGATCATATTTTCTACGAGTTTTTTGTCAACATGCATAAACTTGATCACTGGGAACAAAGTTAGCTAATAGCCACAGGGGCTTGCTCGAGGTGTCTAATTTTTTCTTAAAATCATTTACAGTGATAATAAAACAAGACATCCTGTATCAGAACCGTTTATTATTTTTTTTAAAATAAATCATTATTACATGC